GTGTTGATGTTTCATGCCAGTATTGCATTTGGGCGGAGGTCGATCGAATTACAGACAGTTTTTCAAGAAATAAAACTGTTGAGGCTAACCGAACCGCTTCGAAGCATTTCCCTTAGCCGTTCAACAGGCTTGTTTCACGAAATTATAAAAACCAAAGACTTGTTCTGGTAGTATCGTAAATGTCTTAGTGTACTGAGACAAAGTTGTCTTCGTTTCATAAAAAGAAATGTTCAACGCTTTCAGTGAAATCTGTCGCACATTTGAAAATTTTTTGGCGATGAATCCCAGAAATCTTTATTCAAAACTGAGGAATTTGATCTCTATCCGCAAGATTCGGAGGGTTCGAATTTAAATTCGAAATATTCGAGCCTTACAAAAATCTGTAAATACTCAAAATGTTCAGGACTCTACTCTTCAATAATTTTTTTAATATTCTAACATGTTTAGAACCTTATCTTGAAATAAAATTAAAGCTCGAGCGCAGACTTAAAAAAAAAAAAAGCCTCCGCATCTTCAAGTGCTTTACCTCGGCGGAGTTCGAAGGTTGAGAAATGTTCGAAATTCAGCTGAAGCTTCGCTATTTTCAGAACAATTGGAACGCAAACTCAGAGAAGATTGCGGCATTTCTCTACGAAAACGGTGGTTTTGAAGCCCGTTGGCCGCGAAGAGGTCAGCACAACATGGAGCGAGAACATCCGTGACGCAATTACCAGGGTACACGTGCGTTAGACACAGACATTCTCCATCGAGGCAAACGAAAGGTCAAACAAAGAATCGTAACGACAAAGATTAAACAAGCGGTAAAGGAAGCTCACGAATGTTCTGAAGATCGAGCAGAAGAGCAAAGCCCCCGAGATAAAATGGTACGTCGGTGTTTAATTCCCAGACTCCGTCATACCGCGAACCGTTAAAAATAAAACACATATTGCATCGCTACCCTTTCCTCCCTTTCTCTTCCGGCTTTTCACAAATGCCACAAGCAGATTTTAGCGCAGCTACTGTAAAACACAATTGACGCTGAACGTTTCTTTGACATTTCATGGAATCGGAGCGATTCAACTAAAATAATAAAAAAAAATGAAAGACGTTTGCAATTTTTGGCAATGCCGATTTAGTGCGCCCAATTAGAGCTCTTAAGGAGGAGGAGGAGGAGAGGGTACGGAGGGGAGGGTCAAGTGTGACGTCACCAGAGTAAAATTTCCCGCTAAATTTGGTGGCAAATTTTTATGCTAAATTTAGCAAGAACATTTCCTCGCTAAATTTAGCGTGAAAATTTCCCAGCTCAATTTAGCGTAAAAACTTTCCCAACAAGTTTAGCGGAAACCGTTTTCCGGGTTAACTGCGTCGGGCGTGACGTCACGGGGGTAAAATTTTTCCGCTAGATTTATCGCTCCGGTGCGGTGATCCTTGGATCTCGCCTCCTCCCACAGGTTGCTGCACCGCGCCATCGAGAGGTGCAGCAACCTGTCATGGCGTCGCGCGTAGCTTTTGCCGCGGGACTCCCTTCTACTGCCTTCGCCCTTCTCGGGTTCACGACTCCCGAAGCCTCTCGCTTAGATGGTTTTCCGTCGGACTTAGGTATTGACTGGGCTCACCATCTTTTTCAATTCTACTCTTCTTCCAGGTCGATGTTAACTTTTCCCGCCTCAACGCCGAGGCACGCTCTCGACATCTGTCCTTGTCGCCCTTGTCGGTCAGCCGTCGCAGGGAGTTCAAAGGCATCCTGTCGACTGCTCCATTCAACTTTTGGGCGAACGTCTTCTCCATGCTCAGGTGGTGTAAACCGAAGGACGGTTGAAGTCGCCGAAAGTTGTACGAGAAAAAAAAAACAAAAAACAATAAAGTTGTTCGGTCCTGCTGAACACTAAGAAAAAAAGGGTGGTCATGTGACTAAATTTGGGATTGTAAGACGTTGTCCCAAAAATAACGACCCCAAGAATAAACATGATGGTCTCACACGTAGTCAAAAAGCAGAAAGTCTATTTTGGCTACCCCTAAAGCAATATGGCGGCCGGATAGCGACGCGCGAATTCCCTGGTAGGCCTAGCGAACAGCACGACTTTTTGGCCGAGTGAGAGAACAGAGTGGATACGAAATTCGACGTTTTCCCAGCGCCATCAGACACTCTAAACATCCTACCCCAGACACCGGTACCGTACCTATATCCTGTAAGGACGCACTGTGTTTGCCGGAAGCGCCGGATTGCCCTCGACGGCATCTCGCTAGATTGACTGTATGTTTACCGCCAGCGGAGAACGCTCAAAAAAGAAATCGTTACACGAGGGATGGACATGCTGACTTTATTGAAGACAACGTATGCTTGTCGTATGCGGCGATGAATCGCTGGGCACCTTCGTCGACACCGACGAGAGGCGTTCAGCTCGCACCAACGCTACCACAATTTGTTTGTATCTTGTGGTTACCTCCACCGACGTGCGTATCCATTCGTGCGCGTGTGCGCCTGCTCTTCCCAGCTCTTCATCATTATCATCATCATCACTTATTTTCCCTTAGGGCCCATGAGGCATCATACAAGGGGGCAGCAATAGAACAAAAAAGATAGAACAGTAAACACAATTATAAGACTGTAAGCTAGCTAGGTAGGTTAGATAAAGAGGGGGTAATTACTTTAACGAATTTAGTAGTAGCATTAATGGAATTGATGTTGCGAGGTAGTGAATTTTAACCCTCGATGGCCAATGGTAGTGTGGTGAGAAACAGTTGATGATCGAATAGACCTTTTGCAAAAAATCCCAAAAGCCCGTGCGCGCCGCGCGACGAATAATGGAAGTCCTCGGTACGCACCTCTTCCCGCAACCACGTGACCACGTGGCATACGCGAGCAGGCGCAAGTTATCACGGCAACGACTTTTGAGCAGCCGCGTCGGGCGAGCGACGAGCCAACGGCGGCTGCTCCTTTCTCATCCCTCTCCTCTGTACCGGCTCTGTCGTCTGCTGCACCAACGCTTTGTCGAACCTGGTCGAAACCTGCCACGGTTGCGGTGCAAATTAAATGGATTCGGTGACACTTCAATGTGTGCAGGTAAGCTACGACGAATAACCTATTCAAATAAGTTCAGCTGTCGCGGTGCCTTTACGCTGCCACAGATACGGTACGCCGGCAACGACGTACGACTCGGCGGATGGGCGGGATGGCCGATGGCTGCAACGGCTGCTGGCGGTCCGCCAGGACGCGCGCGCAGTGGCGGAGGCGCAACGAGAAAGCGCGTGATCTGTACCGAGCGTTCCCAAAATTCCCTGCCGTCGTGGCGCTGTATGTTTGGCAAAGGGTCTGTTTGGCGTAATTTACATAGGTGATCTAGACGTGGAAAAATGCGATGGGGAGGTGATAGCAGTGATTCTTTGAGATGGCTATTGTGATCAAAAATTCGATGGAGGAGAGAAAGGCGTGATACTCAGCGGCGAAGGGAAAGCGAATGAACATTAGCTGATTGGCGTAATCCATGATGTGCTCGTATATGGTGAGTAGTTGTTAGAAATAAAACGAAGGGCTCTGTTTTGGACGGATTCTAGATTATTTGCGAGGTAAGACTACCATGGAGACCATATATATGAGGCGTACTCTAACTTCAATCTTATAAAAGTAGTATACGCTAGTCGTTTTAAGGAGGCTGCAGCAAGTTTGAGGTTGCTGCACAAATATCTGAGAGAACGGTTAGTATCAGAATAACAGAAGTTATGTGAGTAATCCATGATAGGTCAGAGGTGAGATGAACACCCAGGTATTTATAAGATCAGCATGCTGTTACTTAAGTGTTAGTGAGGTAATACGAAAATGGTGTAGCACGCAAACTGCGGGAAAATGATAGGGATCTACTTTTATTAAAGTTTAACGTCATCTGTCATTTTTCACCCCAATGAATTACAGACTCAAGGTCTTCCTGGAGAGCATGATGATTATGGTATGAAAGAATGGGTCGGGTATATGACACAATCGTCGGCGAACAGGCGCACAGAAGAACCTATATTAAGGTGGAAATTATTAATATAGATTAGGAATAGAAGGGGGCCAAGTACGGTTCCCTGGGGGACACCTGACGTTACAATAGAGGTGGGAGATTTTAGGTTGTGAACGGAGGAATATTGCTTACGGTTAATTAGTCGGTGTTTCTAACTTTTGGGCAGGAAGAATGCGCGTTCGTCCAAACAATCGGGTATACATGGGTAATACCGGAGAAGGTTCCAAGGAACAAAAGGTCTTCCTGGCAATACCAAATTTTCAACTTAGATACGTAATGTGAGTGCTATTCTATTCAATTCCCCAGTCTTAGAAATAGGGGTGTGCAGGGGTACATTCCTTGTCCCATTTATAACACCCCAAAACTACATTTCAACATTCTGTTCACTGACGTCGAGCTAGCGATACCAACTTTTACGAGCGCTTGATAGCTGTTGGGTATAACGTACTAAGTAGCTTATGTCCGCATCAAAAACTACAAACAAAAAATCACTGAGCTTTTACAGCGGGGTTAAAAAAAATATTCATAGTCTTACTGTGGCGCCGCTGTGTGTTACAAGTACTCCTTTAGTACTCCTTTAGTGAGTACATTAGCTATCTAAAAAAAAAAAAAAAGTTATATGACTCGAGTATCACCCTGCTTGTAAAAAAATGGTATTGCTAGCTCGACGTCGGTGGTCAGAACGTCGAAATGTAGTTTTGGCGTTCTACACATAAAACATAAGTGCAGCCCTCTACACTCCCTATTTTTAGAGTGCTGGGAGCATTACGTTTCTTTTTTGTTGTGGAAAGATATTCAAGATTTTGCAAAATAAATTTATAAAATTCAATGCAAAAAAAAAACGGGGTAGGAACAAAAAGTACACGTTCCTACAATTGGAATTCGTGTTGATTACTTTGTTGTGTATGACTGTTGTTTAGTGATGTACCGCGGAATATTATGATGTACACAGCTTTTCGACTTAAATTAATCTTTTACAGCGTTTTACGGAGAACAGGTGAGAGAGGGCTCAAGGTGCTCATGGACAAGAAAGCTGCTGATCTTAAAGTAATCTATATGATAATTTAGAGTAGGACAAAAAAGATAACGATGAATTTATATGGTGTCAGTGCTCTTTACGTAAAAACATCCACGTTTCTTCAGTATTGAAAATATCTGCGTATAAACTCAGTATTTCTGCTTCTCCTAAAAATTAGTGTGTTCAAAACGGCAGTGATGATTACCCCAAACTCGGCGATTCACGAGTCACTTCACTGGGGCCAGGCGTGTACTGAGTTGAACGGAAATCTCCGACCCTGCACGAAGCATTTGGCGGAAGTGCGGGTCTTAGGGTGGCCCTTAATGTTAAAGATCAACACGCGCTGCAGTGGCACTGCGGATCTGGTTTCTACGCATGAGCACTGGTCACACCTGGGCATTCAACGCGGGCTTCTTTCTACAAAGCGCATCGACCTATGACCTCACAGCTGCAGAGTGGGAAATGATGTGAGGCTCTATAAATGCGGTGGGTACATCGACTAACATCTATTGGCTTTCAGGGTTGGTGCCTTAAGTGTCGACTGCTGAACGATCGCAGTAGAACCATGATGGTCCAAGCACTTCTGTGCGGCTTCCTTGTTTTTTCTGTGGCTCTCGTAAGTTAAATCGATTACTTTTAAAGTCGTCCATAAAATTAATCTTGGTTCTTTGGTCTATGGTAACATGTCTAACACGGGAAACGTGCTACGAAAGCCTTATTCGGTACTTCGTTTTCAAATGAGTATATTGTATATATTTGAATAACTGTGGTAAGAACAGGTGTCCAGGATGGTTCAGGCAGTAGTCGAGGGGTAGCGTGGTCGCGACCGAACGTTGCTAGAAATAAAGCTTAATGCTTCTGAGTGAGAACAAAGGCCGTAAAGAAAGCTGCTCTCTAGCCCGGCTGTCGTACGGCATATCACCTGTGATACCTTTACGAAAACGTTACAAAACACTTCTGTAGATCAATTGTTTTCACAATGAAGCCCGAGATTTGGGCTCAGGACTACTGCAAACTGCTTTAAAAATGTTATAGAAAGGCACGTGCCACCAAATGACAAATTCCTTAACATCGAAAGAATTTACATCGCCAGATATGTTAAGGGATTCAAAATAAAGCATTTCGTATACGTTTGATGAGTTCCTTCTTAGGAAAAGAGCAACTTCTGGATATACGACGTATATTTATGCGTAATTAGTCGCAGAAACATTTAACTACGACAATGTCCTCAACAAGTTTAACATGCAAAATGTATTACTGAATCGCCAAAACAATACGCCTTTTTTTTTACCAATTTCAGGCTTCTAACCTTGAAGGTGAGTGAAGGCTTTTCTAAAACCTCACAAGCGCTAATAAAAAAAAAACAGACACTTTGGTTCTTTTTGTTGTTTACGGAAGGGTGGCAAAAGTCTACGTGGCAAACCATCCTCGACGCAATACAAGGTTAAGAAAAATAACAACAGCAAATAACTTCGACCATGTTACAGCTTTTAGAACTGTAATGACAAAAAAAAACAAAAAAACATTATTGCATGGTAGAGAAATTAATATAATTTATTACCCGCAAATTAAATTAAAAAAACAATTTCGTCTACAACCTAAAATTTCTCTCAAACCTGCTAAAAAGAAACTTGTGATTTTACTATATGCAGAGCACTAGTACAGTGCATTGTATGGGGTAGTGTGACCGCAGCGGCTGGCATAAAGCCTGCGGTGTAGAAGGCGATAGGCGTCGGATTGTCTCTTTACCGATAACGTTTGCGCATGCGCAAAGACGGTGCTTGCTTGCTTCGAAGCATTTGCTCAAAGGTTAGTTTTTTTACGTGTTTTTGCCCGGGAAGTGTTTCTTGGAGCGCCGAAGTGAGACCCAGCTTTCGCAGCATTCCTGCGTGTAGCGAATGCCACCTTGAAGCCAAGGCCTGGCCACATGACGTCACCGTTGGTGGACGCCCGACCCGCCCAAAGCGGAAAACACGCGGAAGCTGGACGAGAGCAGCTGGCAGTCTCGTCCGTCTTCGCGTCGGCGCCTGCTAACCTCGGGCTCGTTGTGAGGCGCTGCAAGACGCGATGACGCTAACGCAAGGCAGGCGGCGCTGTGTGTTACAAGTCAAGAAGGTAGGAGAAGCTCTTCCCACAAGTGTGATACGCCCGTTTCAAATCTCTCCGCAGTCGGTAGGAGAGTTCACTGGATACGCTCCTTGTTCCGCTTCAATGGATTCCCACTTGTCTCCGATCCCACTTTTTAAGAAAGCGGCCTTTGTATTCATTGGAGGGGGAACCGAGCCCCTGAAAGCAGCCATTGTATCCGTCGGAGGGGAAAGCTAATCCCCGAAAGTCGAATTTCTTTCCATCGGAGGGGGAAAACTCTAACCTCCCTCTCGTGGCTTCCACAATGCTAAGTCAAAGTCGACAGATAAAGCACATATGGTACTGAAAGGCAAGACCCTCCTCGCGTATTGGCCGCGACGTCATGGAAACGATCGGACGCTATTGGATGCGGAGTTGGCGGAGGGATATATGATTTCCTTTGAGGGGCATTTGCTGCTACCTTTATCACCTGTAACCGACTAGAGGAACACGGGGAGGCGATATTCCGAATAAAGCAGGCCAAAGGAGAAGCTCCCGAGGGAAGCCGGAAGTAGAGGCCGCGATGGCTGGGAACGACCCCGATGACGACCAAAAGAGCTGTTTGTGCCAAAACAGCTGCCCTTTCCGTTCAATAGCGTCTTCTGGGTTTGATCATCGTTAGGGGGCGTGTCCCTACAAACCGGAAGTCTCTCCGGCTTCACTTCTGGTGGGGTCATGTCGCCTCCCGAAACTTCCTACCTCCATGGCGTGGATTCACTGGTGATGCTTTCGGCGGGAGGGGAGGAGAGGGGGGGGGGGGGGGGAAGAAAGAAGGCGTAGGTCTTTTTAGGTGGCATTAGCGTAGCCCGTTCGGTACCCGGGCACACTACAACGGGTTTGTCGCCCTCTTGACGACGCCATTTCGATGCTACTACACCTATGCGTTGATAACCCGAAGAACTATGTGCACACCACATTCCAAACATAATATTAGGGGACGCGCAGCATTACAAAATTGTATTCTTCTGTAGCAACGGGTTACAAGCAATGCGTTACTCTGACTACGTTACTTTTTTTCCGCAACTGTAGATAATGACACGTTGCATTTTTGAAGTGTAGCCTGTAACTGTAGGAAAGTTAGACTTCTTTTTTAAAGTAAGGATGAAAGTAGCGACGTTACTTTCTTTGCCACTTTCAGTAGTTTCACCAGTACCATTGAACGAAAAGATTCTAGCCAATTATAATTACCATTTCGTTCAAGTAACTGTAACGCCAACGTCGCTATATTTTAAAGTAACTGTACCGAATTCCTCTTTGGAAGTAACTTAGCCGAGACTGCTGAAAATTCTAGAGTGTGTCACTGTCAGGACGGCATATGAACTGCATCGAATGAGCGCGCTGGATACTTTTTGTTTTCTTCTTGTTTCCTCTTCCAGCTGTCCAATGCGACAACCGTGTTGGGAACGCTTCACACACCCTTTGTCAGACTTGGCAGGCTCAGTATATCGACCTCAGCGCCACTCCCGTTGTCTGTACCCAAACGGCCGCGCAAGATCCCATAGTCCCGTCGCGCCGACCCAAACATTACGCGGTGCCCAGTGCAGAGTAGCACTAGCGAATTCGCGCCACTCCACTAGTGTAGTTGACGCCACCCACTTGGATAACGAGACGAATTATATTTTAATGCCATTAGCTGTCCGATTGTCTCATGGAGTGTTTAACAAGTTTATCAAATAAACTGAATTCGTGTGTTGGTTTGTGACGTTCCATATTGCAGCACTTCGCGTGTTTTATTGTGGGACGTCACCAGGCATTTACACCATTTCAATTTCCCACTGAATTTAGAGAAGAAACTGATTAGCGTGTAGGTCTGTGACATCCCATGAAGCTGAACTGTGCGCTTTGCATTACGGGACGTTACAGGGCACGGCTTACGGAAGGCAGCTCGACGCCTGTGGGCGCCATCCAAACAGGGCCCCCGCCGTACGCCCTTTTCCTCTCTTACCTACACTCTCGGCGTAACCAGCGCCGCCAATAAGGGCTCCCTCGAATTCTCTACCAAGGTACATCGCAAAACCGAAATACCCCAGGAGTCGCACTCTGATTTTGCATTACACTGAAGTGCAAATTTCTTTCAGTTTTAAACAAAAGCAATATTTTGCTACCCCTTCCCGTTTCCCGATTTCGTGGACCTTTCTGGCCTCCTAATGCGCAGTAGGTCTGGGCAGTAGATCATCTCAGCTGATTGTGCTTGCACCCCAGTGCGCCGTGCGTAAGCGGAGCGGCAGTGCGCACTCCTTCACATTCACGCACTCTTCGAAGAACCTGGCGACCTTGACGTCGTCCTATAAGTTGTTTTATACCTCGTCTTGGACGTCGCCAAAGGGACGTCGTCTCTGATGTCTTCCTGGATGTCGTCCTAGAGGTTATCCTTCAAGTCGTCCTAATCATCACCCTCTAGGACGTCGTCCCTGAGGCCGTCCTAGACGCCATCCTTTACGTCGTTTTTGGCCTCGTAACAAAATAGCGAGGAAGACATGACGAATACTATCTCAATTCATAGAAAACCAGCAACGGTGGTTTCTGCTGCCATTTTTCTGTGTGGTTTCGCAACTATATCTCGTGATGGTTGGGCTCCGTTTTCAAAGACATTGGCGTTCTCCCACATTGCGCACGTTGCCTGCACTCAGTGTTGCCAGATGGTCCCACCAAAAAAAACGCCAAAGGGTTGGGAGGTATAGCCCAGATATAGCCAAAGCCGTAAAAAAAGTGTAGCCCAAAATAACCAAGACGAAAAGCTACGATTTTAAAGCCTTTTATTGGCAATTTTTCTTCAAAGGGTTGATTTTTCATACACGTACAAAACGCGTTACATAATTTTAGTGTACATTATGTCACTTGATAATTTAAAAAAAAAAAATTTAGAAGGATGAAAATCTGGACAGCAGTGACCCATCCTTCGTAGGTCTTCAGAAGTACAAACCACACAAAGACAGCTGTATTGTGAAGCCCGGGAGATATGATCATACAGTAAAAGAACGGATTAGAGAAGCAGAACAGTCAGAACACTAAACATTTCAAACCAGAAACCCCCATCTAAGGGACGTAAGGTTCTTACCAATAACCCGCCCGTCTATTTTTCTTCGTGTAGAATATGAGTGTCCCCCGTTCTGGTTCACGCCATCTTTGATTGTGTTATCTTTTTTTGGGTGGGCCGTGCCTAAGAAGTTTTACATTGGGCACCAAAGCCGCGTTTTAGAGTTCAGTCTACGTCCGGGTAGAAGACGCGCTACCGGGCCAGCGGTAGTGCATTCTGTTTGATTTGTTTCATTGCGTTGTGGGTAGACCGCTTGAACTCTGCAAGCATTGCTTCTCTGCGCATTGTGAAACCCCCGAATTCTGTAGAAGTTTGATCTCTTTCTCCTTCCTCTCCCTTTTTTCAAATAGCCAAAAGAGAAACAATTTTTTTCGGACCTGATTATAAGTTCGAAAGTTAACTAGCCGAACCTCAAAGCTCGACGTCGAACCTGAGGTTCAACAAAAGTTTACCGCACCCGTAGCCCAAAAATAGCCACAAAGCCAACCACAAAATTTTGACGCCGACTAGAAAAAAATGTAGCCCAATTTGGCTCTATATAGCCCAATCTGGCAACACTGCCTGCACTGCGCGCGCACAGGAACCAGATTCACGGGAGGTATGTGCGCATTCGCCACGCCGACAGCAGCGCCACCGCAACGACGTGACGTCAGAGCCTCTCTTTCGCTTATTATGGCCTATTCATCTGGGGCACACCACAGCCGTCGAGTGCAGTAAACTCTTTCCACTTCAGCACACGGAAGGCCGGCGGGGAGAGAAGGAAGCTCCCCACTCCCCTCTAACGTTTCCTGTACCACGAACCGCACAGCACCGGTGCGATGTGGCCCCAGAAGAATTGTCCATTACTCTCCTCACCGCCAACTGGTAGCCATATCCGGTGAGGGCGAAACAATAAAAATAAAACATTCAACATTCAATTAGTAAAAGGAAAACAGGGGTGAGGCAAAACGAGATTGGGTGATGGTTGCGCTGATATCCTGATCGTGATCTATTGACCTATTGCTCAATAGACCCGATGCTCTCGGGCAGGGGGCGCGAGCGCGTCCGCAAGACGCGACCATGTTATGCTGGCAGCACTATCCAGGCGGCGCTGTAACGTTCGATTTTGCACGTGCCACGTTCGAATGCAAGCATCTGTCAGCATCTGTAGAC